ATGGTAGGTGTGCACGCGAAGAGCAGCACGCCACGGCTGACTGAGCGGAGGAATCTGACATTGAAAGCGTCGAAAGAGTGTGTGTAGCAAAGCCCAACCACAAAGACCTGGTGCAGCACCAAAGTGCATAGCGGAGGTATTAAGCACAAGATCATGGACGTTGAACAATTGACACACAGCTTCCACAATGTAGCGCGAATCTGGCACAGCATCGAGTGGCCCAATGGTTTGAATGGACACTTCCCATGCATGCATGTGAATCTCGCACAAAATCCAATGTTCTCTCCACAGAACGAAAAGGAACAATTGACTGAAGGTCTCATGCAAGCATTCAAGATCAGCCAAGAAACGCAGGTTCCAACGATCAGAGTCCCACACTGCTGGTGGGCAAAAGCAAACATGAGAGTACTGCCAGCGAAGGACGTCCAGCGTGTGGTCAAGAAGGTCAGAGGAAAGCCAGCCAGGTTGAACAAGGCACTCAAGCAAGCGACTCTGGATACGGTGGAGCGAATGGTGCTGCTGCGCAGGTAAGGGTGCAACACCAACAGGCTGAATGGGTGCTGACGGCTGCGGCTGCTAGGTGTCAGCTGTGTGTGTGTCTTCAGGTGGTGAAGGCACAGCAGGTGTCGTGCTAACGGCAGTGACAGTTTGTGGTGTGAACTCAGCAACCAGCGGTATGTTGACTGCAGAGGACGTATCAGTGGCAGTCGCCGCGAGATTGACAAGGAAGTTGGTACGGAGAGTGGTGGCAAAAATGACCAGGTCTTCATTGGCTCCCGCACGTCGCCAGTCTTCCTGTCCAGATTCCCAGGCCTCACGGATTTCAGCTCGGCGGAACGCAGGCAACGCATTGAAAAGATCAAAGTAGTCTGGAAGCTGACGCAGAGCTCCACACAGAACAAAGTAGCGCTGAAGCAGGAACCAACCACAAAGATGTACAGGAGCTTGAGCAGGATGGATGTGCTGTTGCACCCTGTGAGGTGCAAGATCAATGCATCTGCACATCATGAGGAGAGCCCGCTGGGCAAATGGAGCACCAAGGCCAAAGACATGAACCTGAGTGTGACGACCAATCCGGTTGACTTCAACAGCAGCCCAGTGATTGTCAACGAGGACAGCAATGACTGTTCGCCCGCTCTCAGCAAACCGTGGCTCTCCATAGAGCTCGTCATTGAATTCTTGCTCATTGGTCCTCCAGCACAAAAGGTTGAACTCTGCAATCGTTTCCGGGAAATGGGTATGCAACCACATCATGGCAGCATGAATTTCATCGGACGCAGCCCAGCCATGGGTGTTGATGCTGAAGGAAACACGAGCAGTGAAGTTGGCTCCTCGTGGAAGAGTTTCAGGGCTTCGAGTCCATCTGTGGTGGCCACCTGCCACAACAGTCGTTGGCACTGGTTCAATCAACAGCCAATCTCCATTTGCAAGGTGAAGTTGCTCAGTCGAGCAAGCTTGATTGTTGTGGTAAGCTATGCGGAATGCACCGTGGAGTGTGGTGACCATGGTGTTTCTGTGAAGTGTCTTGGGCACGATGTGGGCTCGCACCCAGACTTCGGTCTGCAGCTTCTGGAATACAACAAGAGCATCATTGCTGTGATTGCGTGACCTCACCGTGAAGAGAGGTCCTGGGGCAATCTTGGGAATGGCAAATGGGTTTGGTAGATGGCAAACTGGTTGTTGCCAAAGTGTGTGGCCAACTGCTCTTGAAGGTCAGCTGCTGGAACTGTAGCATCAAGTTTGAGTGTAAGAACTCCTAGAGTATTCTCCCAGAGGAGGGAAACCAGTTGCTTGTTGGAACATTCGTTGTCTTTCCACTTGGCATTGAAGTCCAAGAAATGAAGCATCTCCTGGAAGAGCTCCTGTGAAGGAGCTTGCGGTGGCACAGTCTCCAAGACAAGGGTCAATGGCTCCTCAGCACAAGGAGAAAAGGGCACAGTGGGAGAAATGTCAGCAGGAGGGTCAACACGCCCTAGATTAGCATCCGCTGGGCCAGTTGGTCGAATCCACAGAAGCGGAAAAGTCCACAAAAGGCATTCAACTTGTGACGTCAGAGCGAGTGCCTCCAGAATCGGAATGTCCTGAAGGGTCTGGCCTTCCAAGGTGCGAAACTGCAATGCATCAGGACAGATCCCTTTGGTGAACATGGCAGGGATGAAGACCGTTAGGAGAGTAGCTGCTTCCGGCACTCGAATATTCCACGTATGGTGGGTGGGCACATGCACAAGAGTAAGCTGAACTCCATGTCCCTCACAAGGCACCAAATTGGAGCGACAAGGCATAGACACAGCAATGTCCTGAACTCGTGTGATCGTTAACCAGTCTTCAAAGACCTGGACCAAAGCATTCTGACTGGTGAGCCTGTCATTCCACGCTTGTTTGACGAGCATGGTCGGAGAGACATCAAGGCCGAACAGGGCAGCAAATCCAACCGCCAAGCAAAGAGTTGCCTGAGATTGCGAAATAGCATTACCTAGTATGTGGAAGGCAAACGGAGCATCACTCGGCAGAGTGATTGTCCCTGTAGTACCGAAAAGGGGCACAAACCGAGTGGGGCACATGAAGGTGTAAACACCTTTCTTCAGCTCCAGTGCAGCGAAGATGCCTTTGCTCATGACATGCTCGACCTGAAGCCGGTGCTGACGACTGACGAGTGTACGAGGAGCAGAGGGTCGGCAGTGGTTGGCTGACATCGGCAACCCTCGAATGCAGTACCTCAGTGGTGGAGGCAATGGTTTTGACCCTCTTTGCTGGTGGCAGTAACCCAGGGTTACCATACATCCCCAAAGCTTCCGAATCCAGCTTGAGCTGGTCACTGAAGGATTCTGGAACCCAAAAAAGGTGTTGAGGGCGTCATTCCATGGAACCAAGGGTGGTGCACGAAGCTCAAAAACCATCTCATGGGGTTGGAGGCCCAAGTCAAGACGAGCCCAGACTGCAAGCCACCGAGACCTGTGGTTATGCAAAAGCTGATGCTGGTGCACAACCTGCTGCCAAACTTTATGGTAGCCTATGAGATTCAACAAAGCTTCCAAAATGGGGAAGTGCTCATGATAAACAGTTGAATCCGCTCCTTCCAGGAAGAGAAGAAGCGGTTGCTGAATCTCGGCCAGCATGATCATTTCGATCATAGCATAGCCACTGCTACAGTTGAGTCCCTGCTGTCGTCCTCCTTGCGACCAGGAAATACAAGGGGGCGAGGCACTTGTAACACTATTGTAGCGATGTGGCCATGCATTGAGCAAGGAAGCATCATCAACTCCAGTGCAAATACCAGTCTGCAGGTTCGTGTTAGCAAGCGTGGAAGGCGCCCTCCCGGTGCTATGTGGCACACCATGTTGTCGACTCCACACCTGCATGATGCGTTCATCATGATCAACATGAAGCTCATGAGCGATTGGAAGGGCAGGTACAGCATCAGCCAACCAATGAGCAGCACGAGTCCAACCACCATAAGCACCGGCAAAAAGGTGCAGGACATTCAGCGGTTCCGTATGCTTGAATTGGGGCACAATGACCGTGTCAGCCCCCAAGGAGATAGTCTCCCACTGATTGTCAACAATCTGGCTTCCAACGCAGGTGATGTGGTCGCCCACGGAAGGAAAAACAGCTCTTCGTCCCAGCTCCGGTACAGCAATCCTGATCTTCGAACCCTTCGGCGAGGGCACAACAAACCCACGGCCTGGGTTGAATTCAAACGGTTCGACTTCGAGAACAGCTTCGGTCGCAAGGGCCACCATTCCAGAGATGATCACCTTCCCACCCGGCCGGAGCAGGTGAGCCGTTGCACGGCGATCCTGGAAGAAGCTCTTGATCCTCCCTCTCCATGGCTCGTCGATCATCCGTTCGACAGCCACATGCCAGCGCTCCAAACCCACAACCATGGCGCGCTGCGGCAAAAGCTACCACTGAGGTCTCAGGCGGGTCGGTCCTGAGACCTCTGTGGACGCTGGACCCTCCCTGCGAAAGGAGCAGCCCAGCCGCGGGAACCCGGTGTGCCCAAAGGCGAAAGGCTTTGGGCCTAGACGCCTGGATGGTAACACCTCTTCATATGGGGGCTTGATTGATGAACCGTCTACTTTATGAATCATGGTGTGTTATGTGTGTTGAGCTCTGTTCACGGTGACGGTGAACAGCATGGCAATGAGTAAACACCCCTCATCGTCGGCGAGTTCATGAAAGAGCTTCTACTCTTGTCCATCATTTGGTTGCAGATGCTCAGCACCCTGAAGGGACTTGATTCTTCAACCGGGAGCTCCAGAATATTCCAGAATGATGACGCACTGCTTTATCCATAGCTAGAAGCACAAAAGCTGCCCTTGTCCGATTTGCCCGGGAGGATTCGCGGATGTGGGGGAAATTCTTATATGAATTTCCGCCACCACTGCCTAAGACCGACCAGGTTGTTTTTTCCATGAGTGCAGACCACATATCGTTCTGCAAGGACATAGTTTCACCTGTCAAAATCTCACACCCTATGACTTTTACACTTCTGAAACCTTCTAAATTCATGACATTCATAAACAGGCTGCAACATATGTTCAACCCCTTCAATTGTACTGTTCTTGAATCCTGCCTTCTGCCACGTTTTCCCAGGTATTTCCGCCTTTTCTTCTCGGGCATGTCCACCGTTTTCTCGGGTATTTCCGCCTTTTTGCTGGGCATTTTCGCGCAAGGTGTTTTCAACTTTGGACTGGTTTTACTCCGTGCGTGCTCATTCCGCACAAGAAACCTTCAACAACAAAGACACACATAGCCAGATTTGCAGGTGGAGGTGGACACTTTAGCGCCGCCATTATTTTTTTTCTCATTGAGGTGACCGTTCCAGGCAGAAATGCCCAATGTAAACCACGAAGAGCGGCAAAAATTTCTGCCGAAGGATCTTGTATAGATCCAGGTCCATTTATGCAACAAAATGCACTAAACCCCCTGTCTAGACACCAAGCACCAAGGGTGATAACAGCAGGACACGAGCAAAGGACACGGACACCCCCGCCCAGGCCTTGTCACTCTCGGCGGGGGCAGCTGCCTTCACACATACCTCGCAGGGGCTGGGTGTGGCGACATTGATCATTTTGGGCATGACAATGTCGCTTGGCAAAATGGCATGATTCTCCACATCCACCTGACAGGGCGTGACAGGGGGGCTTGGAGGGTGTGTTAGGAGGGCGTGTTAAAGCGATGGAGTTTGGGATTTGGTGCTGTTTGATGTGTTGGTGCGTGCTGGTGACAACGGGGGCAGCTGAGGCTTTCCGGCTATACCTTTCAGATGGTCGCAGAGAGCAGCGCAGCAGCTTGGGCCATGGGATGGTTCCAGGTCGTAGTGATCTGTGGCAATCTCTTGGGGCGGGAAAAAGAGGGGCCTGTTGAGCCCTTGCCTTGTTTGACTCTTGTGATGCTTTTGATCTGATGTTGAAGGCCCACGTGGTCCACAAGCAATTTGTTCTTCCTTTTGGAGACATGGGACCATGAGAAGTTGTCGCTTTTTGGAGACTATCACTATCGCCTGTCCAAACTCCAAACGTACTAGATTTCAATTTTTTGGGAGTGAGGACAATTCTGAGGTTGGTACATCAATGCTAGCTCCGCCCCATTGATGGTTGTTCTGAGAAATGACCATGGAATGCTCGTATAACCGTATAACTTAATCTTCACTTGAAATTGCTGTGTGCATCGTTGCCCACACACGTTCACAACAAGAACTAGCTGCTGCTGCTTGTATGGCAATAACTGTTGTTAAGTCTTCAAGGGAATGTGCACAGAACTACTGTTCCAACAGCTTGGCCTGGTCAGGAAGGCCGCCTGACAAGGCCTGATACAGAAATGGGCGTGGCGCTGAGCGCACAACATCCGAGTAGTGCACACAGCATCCCTGGGAGACTTCTTAGCGCACTCGTTCTCCCACGTGCCAGGTTCACCACGTACTGTTTTCCAAGAATGCGCCTGGCCAGACTACTAGTAACTAGTACAGTAACAAGAAACTACTAGGAACAAAGGGCATCACTAGGAATAGGGACAGGCTTTGCCGCGCTTTGCGCGCTCCTTGCGCCTCTTCGAGGACACCGGGGCAGGCGACTTTGGGAATACCTGGGCGCAGAGCGTGGGAAAGTCTACAGCTTGGCTTCCGCGCATGGCAGTGGGCCGCCTGGGCTGAAAAGGCAGGGAATGCCAGGGCTTACGTGTTTTTTTCCATGTTTTTTCTGTCCAAATCTAAGACCAGGGAGCCCAGGGTCCACGGTGGCTTGGTGAATTGGATTTTCTGGGAGGTTCATTCAGTTCATTCGTGGTCGAGGGGGAACCTTGGGATGAAGGTGCTGACAGAGGCAGGGAGACAAATTTATTTCAAGTAGCGAACGTTACCAAAGGCTTCCAAGACCGCAGAAATCAATAGAAATCATAGGTGTAAAGTTTTCAGAAGATCAGCCGGGTTGTTGGAAGAGTACTGGTTTTGCAGTTTCATGTTCACACAAAAATGAAAACTTCTAACACAAGTGAGTTGCACATCACAAGAAGTCAAAAAACATGTGCAATTATATATAGTCTTGCATATAAATATATTGGCATGTATAGCTATCTTTACTTTTGCATCTTTATTCGCAGCTGGCCTGCAAGTATCCACAGTGGACCCACTGTTGCTGACTCGTACGAAGGGTCGACGAAAAGGGTCAACAGCCTGTCCCCTCCGAGCCTGGACTCTCATGCCAACCCCCTTTCGTCGGGACTTCCTTCATGGACGTCATACGGGATAGTGAGATGGGTTTCGGATCGGCGACATCGGTGGGTCAAATACCTGTTCAATTCTGGCATTTCCAACCACCAAACCGACAAATCCACTCATCAGAAGAGCAGGGTGCTTCAATCATTTTTGAAGAATGTCAAGAAAAGACGCGGTCGTCGCCAAAGGCTGACAAACTTGTAGGTTGTGGATGCGCATGGCAGTTTATAGGGGTTTGTCCAGACATGTCACCCATTTTCATCATTCCCGTCGCGCATCGCGCCGTGTGCACAGAACAACAGAATTTGGGTTTACGGCGGTTTTAGATGTTGGTCGTAAGGAAGTGGCTGGCATGCGTTGGCGCATGCATTGCGAGAGTGCAAGCGCAAGGTGAGCTTTGTTTCTCTTGAAGTGATTCCACATCATTGTGTGAAAAGAAACAGCATGATACTCTCGGCAATTGGGATACTTTCTTGTTCATCCTGAATGGCCATTCCACAGGGAATTTCAGGGTGTCAACTTTTTGGAGGGGACCAGGCCATTGTTTTTTCACAAAACGCGTGTTTCGATTCTGCATCTTGATTGAAAAGTGTTCAAAGTGTTCAAGTGTTTCCGGACTCGCTTCTCTTCCGCGTGACGTGACTGGGATTTGTTTGGGGCTGAGGTATCATGTCCTTCACCACCTGCACCGTTTATGTCCGGGGTCCTGGAGAGTGGAGTTTGTGGAGAGTTCGGAGTCCTGGAGAACTGGACGTGGACGAATGGACGAATGGATGACGTCACCCTTTGTTTAAAAGCAGAGTGACCTCAGGGTGTTGTATGGGACGCCGTTTTGCATCAGTTAGGAGACCTATTTTTTTAAGTCGACCAATAGGCAACACCGTTTGTGATTAGCCGTGAGGGATTTAAATGGGAGTACGTTGCGCCAATGTATCTTCGGTGGAAATATCGTTTTTCAGCCACGTTTTGGAAGCTCCACCAATGTGATGTTTCTTTTGGGATGTGTCAAAGGTTGGCACCTTGCTCCAAAGTAGAGATCGGCAGAGGCTGGCACTCCAAGACGAGGGTTTGTTCCTTCAACACTAACACAACTACAATCAGAAGATGTGTTTCGTGAGTGTGTTTTGATGTTTTTTTGGAGGTTTCGCTGGTCGGCTCGTTTCTTCTCAAAACAACATTAACAACTTAGGAGTTGGGAGCTTTTCTCGTGAGGGCTGACCCAACTTGGCAATTATTATTTGATGCATGAATTTGGTGACAAGATGGGCCATGATTCGTTTGATTTGTACATGTTATCCTTACGGTTTAAACATGTTTAAACTGTTTTAAGCAAAGCATGATGCAAATCCCAGTGGGCACAGGTATAGTACCCTTATTCAACCGGTGCTTTCAAAGTTTTGCTGCCCCTGTTTGGAAGCCCTGTTTCAGATGGATCAAAATGGTGAAAACGTTTTCATGGAAGTGCATTCCTATAGGATCATACCTGTTGAATACTTTTCTAATTCCTTTCCATCCCTGAGGTCCTGAAGTCCAATCTTTCTCAGCCGCTTCAAAGGCCATGATCCTGGCTGACTTGACCTCGTCTATCTTGCAGACCTGCCTGGCAGCACTGCCAGCACTAGGCGCGAGAGACCGATGACATGAGCTTTTTTGCAGAAAAAGGGGAAGGCTCGGAAGGCTCCAGGATGCTCCAAGGCTCCAGGACGTCGCTCGGGTTTGTCGTTCGTTGCTCCAGGTGCATTGAAGCCCTTCGTCGCGCGCACGCCGACGTTGATCGGCCTCACGGTCTTCGTGCTGCTGCCACTGTGCCTGGCAGAGGACTTTTCGACACCCGGCAGACGGCCTCAGCGGAAGAGCGGAACTCAATGGCTGTGTTCGAAGTGCATAGAGGGACAAGGTTTCCCAGACATGTTTCCGGACAGGAGTCATGTTTATCCAAGCTATCTCACTTGTCTATAACCAGAACTTGACTCACCTCTCCCTTGCCATGAGCGAGGACTGGTAGGAAAATCTTCGGCTGAGAGGAGAAACCACGAAACTCTTCACAGGTGCCAACACAACGGTTTCCCTGGCCAGGACAGCAGTTTGGAAGTGTATATCTTGCTGACCCCGACACAGTACAACTTTTGGCCTTTGGTTCCTTCACGATTGCATTTAGGTTCCATGTTGCGAGCGTTTTTCAATAAGGTGTCTGTGATTATAGTGATTATAGTGTGTTTTTCAATGTTTTTCCGCCCTTTCGAGTGCTTGGAGCCTGATACATAAATGGTATTCAAACGCACACGACCAAAGGTCGGGCTTCTTTTGCTTGCTTTATACATGAAATGTCACCCACTTAGCGACAAGCCCCCACAAATCACAATCAATTTCCGGCACCCTTTCATCTTCATGATTCTTCATGACTGGACTCCTGGGAGACTGGTGGGTTTAAAGCCCTGCATTCTCATCAAAACAACCCTGCTCTTCCCCGATTTCGGCATCACACCCTGGGTTGGAGAACAGCCCTTCCGCTCACACGCATAAGCGCCCGAAAACTCGGAGCTCAGGAGCCTCGCTTTCACTTCCACCCTGGGCTTGGCAGCTTGCGCAGCGCTCAGGACGATCGCTTCGGGTCGCGACCGTTGCGACCGCTCCGACGCGAGCGTCGCCGCGAGGCGCCGGGTCCAATGGGTGTCCCGTTTGGAGATCCCTAAGTGGAGGGTAGTCCAGCCAGGATACCCATTGGATGGTCCTGGTAGTAAGTTGTCATATTCACTGCAAGGGGTTGCTGAGTTCCACGTGCCGATCTTGTTTCCCGGAACTGAACGCGTGACTTCACCCTTTTTGGGGGGTGCCAAGGCGCCTACTTGGCACTCTTCTCCATTTGGAGGGCCGTGGCGACTCAGCATCAGTGCGATGGGCCGGGCATAGAGTCAGGCTCTTCCAAAGACCCACAAAAGCATCAATGAGATTGTAAATGGCCTGGGCCGGGCACTCAGCAAATCCTTCCCACTACATCCCACCCTGACCTGGAAGTACTCACGACGCCTCCCCAGCACAAAACACGCCCAGCCCAGTGACCGACCAGTCTTACCTTGTCAACCCTTATCTAGTTCCCCCTTGAGCAAATTCTATTTTCGAGCGAACTCGATGCGAACTCCATGAGCCCACATGAGAAGGAAACCCACATGAGCCCCTTATTTTCGAACAGGTGCCCAAAGCTGAACCCGGGAGTGTTTTGTTCCCCACCTGTCAGGTGAGGGTTGTTAGATTTTTACGTCAGCCCCATCTCCTCCTTCTTCTCCTTCTCCTTCTCCTCCTCCTCCTCCGCCTCCTCCGCCGGACCTCAACAACGACCATCCACGCCCAGTGTTCCCTGCCGGACCTCAACCACGACCATCCGCGCCCAGTGTTCCCTGCCGGACCTCAACCACGACCATCCGCGCCCAGTGTATCCTGCCGGACCTCAACCACGACCATCCGCGCCCAGTGTACCCTGCCGGACCTCAACGACGACCATCCATGCCCAGTGTTCCCTGCCGGACCTCAACGACGACCATCCATGCCCAGTGTTCCCTGCCAGACCTCAACTACGACCATCCGCGCCCAGTGTACCCTGCCGGACCTCAACGACGACCATCCATGCCCAGTGTTCCCTGCCGGACCTCAACCGCGACCATCTGCGCCCAGTGTACCCTGCCGGACCTCAACTGCGAGCTCCAGGCCCAAGTGTCCCCTGCCGGACCTCAACCACAAACACACAACCACAAACACATAACCACAAACACAACAACAAACACAGAACTACAAACACAACCGGAAACACACAATCACAAACACACAAACACAATCACAAACACACAACCACAAACACAACAACCACAAACACGACCACAAACACAACAACAAGCACACAACCACACACACAACCACAAACACAACCACAATCACACAACCACAACACACACACACACAACCACAAACACACACACACACAACCACAAACACACACACACACACAACCACAAACAATACCCCAAACACAGCCACAAACACAAACACAAACACACAATCACAAACACACAACCACAAACAATACCCCAAACACAGCCACAAACACACAAACACAAACACACAATCACAAACACACAACCACAAACACACAACCACAAACACACAACCACAAACACACAACCACAAACACGAAATCACAAACACAAAACCACAAACACAACCACAAACACACAACAACAAACACACAGCACACAACCACAACCACACAACCACAAACACACAACCACAACCACAACACAGCACACAACCACAACACACAACCACAGCACACAACCCGAGGACCCACAAGCAAAATCGAGAACTACAATACTCACGACCATGGCAACATGCTCCTCACTATGGCATCAAGACAAATGGGGAACACTCGAAGTAAAGTATTTTTTTTCGAACACGTGACCCGGTTGCCGGTTGACCGTGAGACTTTAAAACTGGTTCGCACAGTCCATGGCTTGATAAGATGGCTCTTGAATCCTTTCAATAGTATGGCCCTGCAACCTATTAGTTTTGATGTTCCCACGTCCCAAGGAATGTTGCGCGCTATCCAAGGATGGTTCTTATCTTCCCGGTGGCAAGTTCTTCCGGCTAGCGCCCTACACGCCTTGCCCCCTGTGCGGTGCTAGTCACTTGGCAAGTTTGTCCAGGCCCCCCACTGCCTGAGATTTGCACGGGATGCCGGGGCCAAGTGGTGCGTGGTCTCACGTTGCTTGGTGTTGGATGCGTGACGTGTTGCAGGAGTTTCTTTTCGCTTTGGTCAATATCCTCGTGCCCCAACATGCCACGACCAGTCCATCTCCGCCGGTTTATTGGGTGTTTGTGGCAAGACCTCAAAGCTTTCCCCAACAGCCAGGGAGTAGTTGCTGAGTAAAGTGAGATGAACATATAAATAACAATAATACATATGTATGATGTGATATATATATATATAGAGAGAGAGGGGGAGGGAGAGAGAGAGAGAGAGAAGTTCTAACCGTCCTTGTGGTTTCATGGAGCTCCTCCTCCTACCAGGATGTGGTTGAGGGACCACCCTCATGCTTTGGTTCTTCCAGGAGAACTCAACGATATCGTGAACCCTCGAGCCTTGATCTTCCTCTCGAGCATTAGCACCGTAGCTGTGATGCAGGGTATGGCAGGGTATGGCAGGGTTGCGGTGACTGCCTGGCCTCAGCAAGCTAAGCCGTCACCAACCTATTGTCCACCATTGTCCACCCATTTCAGACTATTACAGTTTCTTACAGGGCGACGACCGGGGAGCTAATGGGAACGCACTGTAGACGATAGGTACCCTACAAACGTGAAGAGCGATGCTTAGTTACTAGCACCCTGAGGCAATCTAACTTCCAGCCAAGTGCGGTTAGTGGTCCAACACTGTCCGGAGGGGCCGAGCGTTGTAGGATTGACTCTTACCTCCCGCTACACCTGATCAGCTGAGGAAGCGTAGGTTTGGGTGGCTTGTGTGGCTGTGCCGGCGGACACTTTTTGCCCAGTCTTCAGTTTGTAGACCTGACCGGAGTTGTGGCGCAGCCCAGTGCACCCCGAAGATGGCAAATCTAATCAATTGCCATGCTACCCAAAGAATGAGCAGTTTGATATATATATATATATAATAATGATCATGTTTTGATCATCGGTTATATCCACATATGTTCTCTATCCATAGACTATATACTGTAGACTAGATTTGGGTTTGCGCGACACTCTTGCAATTCTCACCATCTCCCCGTTCTTCAGCATTGAAGACTGGCATGGCTAGGCCTACATGAATCATGGTATGGCACCAGCCACTTTCCAGGCCGGTTGGACGGGCTCGCCCTCAGTGATTGCCATTGGACACCAAAGAAACTTCTATGCCCTGTTGCAATACAATTTCTTTGCTGTAGTGGCTTTGTAGCCTTTTGCCACTACTCAGCGCGATCTTGAAGACCATGCACCTACTAGTGCAGCACTTTGTTGTGCAAGTGTGCTTCAGCCCGCCCCAAGCGACTGTATCTTCCAAGGAATCACCAACGGACCACCCTACAGGAACACCTTTGGGATGCTTCTGTGTGCCGACCACAAGTTCTGCAAAAATATCCAGCCGCATTCGGCCGAAATGCCGAGCCACAGTACCCCGAGCCTCCTCGCGGCCTTTCGTGGGGCGTGCCTTTCGTGGCAGAACTTCCCAACAACCGTGCACAGATTGAACATCTCCAAAAGGTGATGTCGTGAGGCCAAACACGACAAACAACCACTGGACACCAAGGGCACTTCTCAGCCCATTGGAAGATCACTGGTTAGGATTAGGAGTGTTTTCAGGGTCCATGGTGATCCTGCTTTTGATTCTGAAAACGACTTGAAACATGAACATTTTCGGGTTTCGCATTCATGGTGGTCATCCACACGACGCCATTTACCCATCATATGCCCCCGTTGCCGCCGCAGGAACTCAACAGGGGCGTGGAGAGGTCGGAAGGCTTACGACGCTATGCGTTGGCCACATGGAGAAATTCCAAGCAATCCGGATCAAAATCCCACTCCACACATGGAGGCAGTGTCCACAATCCCCATAACTATCATAACTCGTAGCCCGTGTTCACCCTGATCAACGATCAGCGCCCAAAAGCGACAAAATGTGCTCCATTGGTGTTTGGACTAGTGACTATAGGGTAATGATGTGGGCATAATATTGGTAGCCGGATCCTCAACAAAGTCATCCTGTGGACATTTGGGTCTTGGAACGCCATCAAGGTCTACTTCAAGGATGCAAGATGATGCAAGACCATAATGTTTGTAGTTGTAGTGCTTCGCTAGCAGCTAGCAATTCTCAACCATGTTCCCTTCCTCCACTACAGTAATGCCTATGGTGATCTCTAGTGACCTTGACTCGAGACATCGTTGGTTCTTAAACTTTCAACTTTCAAGGCAGTCGCCCTGGCGCCAGCAGGGGATGTCTCTGTCAACCGACCCTGTCGACCCGCCCAAGGCTGTGCTGGGCGCCTTTGGCTTGGCAGGTTTTGTGTGCACAGCCTCTTGGCATGCTTGGGTTTAGGGTGGGTGCACTCCAGACAGATGGCTGTGGGTCGCAATAGTCAATTCAGTTCATGTTCGGTGGTTAGAGAGAACAGAGACACGGGCCGCACGATGGACCTCCATGGGCCGCACGATGTTTGTTTCACAGACTTTTGGACCGGTGCACGATTTTCAGCGAGCACAGTATTGGATTGTTTGTACAACATCCGGTGTCGGGTCAGCACCATGGATCCCACACCTCCATGGATCCCCCATGGAAGGTTTCATCCTGAAACCCTTGCAGAACCGCAGCAGCCACAACTCTTGAGTGCTGGCCACTTCCTGGGCGTAGATCCACGGGCAATCCTAAAGACCAAGGGGACACCAGATGTGCACAAACCTCACCCAGGAGAGAGACGAGAGTGGGAAGCAAATGAACACCTTTCACCCCTGTGGGACAGAGAGAGAGAGAGAGAGAGAGAAAGAGAGAGAGAGAGAGAGAGAGAGAAAGAGAGAGAGTGCGAGAGAGTGAGTGAGAGAGTAAGTGAGAGAGTAAGTGAGAGAGAGAGAGAGAGTGAGTGAGTGAGTGAGAGAGAGTGAGTGAGTGAGTGAGAGAGAGTGAGTGAGTGAGTGAGAGAGAGTGAGTGAGTGAGTGAGTGAGTGAGTGAGTGAGAGAATGAGTGAGAGACAGAGAGAGTGAGTGAGTGAGTGAGTGAGTGAGTGAGTGAGTGAGTGAGAGAGTGAGTGGGAGAGAGAGAGAGAGTGAGTGAGTGAGTGAGTGAGTGAGTGAGTGAGTGAGTGAGTGAG